TATATATATATATATATATCGAAGCACTTAAGACCTATTCCACTGTTCACACGCCTTCAACATTAGTATGCTCAAATCAAAAAAAAGAACGACGCCACCCCCTCATCAGCACAGAACACCCTTCTATTTCTCCCCGTCTTTAGTTCAGCAGCAACCCTGTCCAGCCTTTCTGCTCCGTCTACCCTCTGCTGCTCTATTCTTCCTCTTTCTCACCTTGTGCGTAGATGCCTGTGAGGGTCGCCCTAACAAGTACTGTGAGAGCAGCGCCGAAGGAGGACCCCGTCAACAACACATTCAAAAAGGAGCAGAAAAAGCCTGCTTCTGCTGACGGTGGCCCCGACAGTTGTGAGAAGGCAAAACCTGCAATAACTGTGGCCTGGGAGGCGATGATCCAGCAATTGCGTGCAAACCAGTCAAGTTCTCGTTTGCGGATTTGGATATCTTCCTTGCTAGCCTCGGTAACAAGCGCATTTTTCAGCACCGAAAGCATCTTTTTAAAGATACATAGACATAAATATCAAACTATAGCTAAATGTTTCACAAATACGATCATATTTCAAAAGAAATCCAGTAAAAATTGATGCGAAGCCGGTGGTCACCGAGGCAAGCGATGTGCTGGGGTTTACCTACAGCCCGGATGATTAAAATACCACTTGACGCAAACAATCAAACAATTCTGCCAGTTGTTGTTCTATCCATGCAAAAATATATCAAATATGATACCGTAAACCGATAAAAACAACACAGATAATCAGGCCGGTGTGCAGTGGGCTCCACCGGCCCAAACCCTAAAGCCAAGACCCACAACACTAGCAAAACAATGGACCTCCCGATGACTAATTTTTACTGCATTTTAGGGTTTCAATTTTCACAAATCATCGTAATAAATGTTTCAACTCCTTTCTAAATCACCGGCCGGCTCGTCCTTGTCGAGAGCACTCCAGCAGCAGCAGCTGCTGCTGCTACGCCTCGTCGTCACATTCTTAGCAGGGAAGGTTAGTGTTTGTACACACTAGCTATGTTGCTTGAGTCCTTGTTGTTGCCGTCGCCGCTGCCCCTAATTGCTGGTGTCTGCATACAGCCAAGATCGAAGGACCATCGTAAGCTGTAGCAGAGTAAAAAACCTGAGGAAAAAGTAATGTGAAAGCAACTTATAGGCTCCTCCCGTAAGCTTGTGGCATTCCAGCTAATAATCTCCCTCCCTTATCTTCGGGCGTTTTCGCCACAATAGCTCAAGCGCCCGTTATGACAGAAGAATAGGCAGCCTGACCCGCGCTGCAGCAGGCCGTGGTGCATCTCGTGCTAGACAGCCCCCACATGCTAGCATAAACAAGCCTCTTGGATTCGTGCAAGGACACTTAAGATCACTTGAAAGCTTCGGTTCGCCGGCACCATTCGCCGGCACCATCTCTACTAAGGCCACGTAGGCGTCCTTGTGCAAGCTAAGGACAGATTATGCTATACAGAGAGACAGAAAGACTAAGGCTAGCTTTTAGCTAGATACGTCTCGGTGCGGACTGTCGTATGTGTGTTGTTGCAGCTAGTACAACGGCCATTTCAAGTTTTGGCTGCCTACGTCTAGGTGTAGCTAACTATCGCTAGCCAGCGCGTTGCAGTACGAACAGCAGCAGGTAACGCAGAATACCTAGCAAAATACAGAGAAAGACGGAGACGAAAGGGGACAAGGAAACAGAAGGGGACACAATGCCCAACACTTGTGCCGCTCCTGCTGTCGCTTCTCCTGCTGCTGCTGCTGCTACTGCTGCCTCAAGACTGTAACTACAGCTTCAGACCACTACAGAGTGCATACAGCTGCAAATACTGTGTCACAAAAAAGCGCGCCCCAATCAGGGCAGGCATTGTTGCTGCACCACTTCCTCCGCTACCGGTGTTGGTGCTACTGTTGGTTTTCCTGTTTCTACTGCGGTTGGGTGTCCTATGGCGTTTAAGAATGCCTTCAATTGATCGTAGAAGGTATTCCTCTGCCGCTTCTGCAACTGCTGTTGCCGGTGTTGCTGCTGCAGCTGTCGTTGCTGCTTTTGCTGCTGTTGTTGCAGCAGGGGAGGGACCACGCGATAGAAAGTCGGCAGAGGGCGCACAGCTCCCCGCTGTTGGAGCTTCTGTTCGTGGTAGAGTTGCATCTGCTGTTGCTGTCCTTCCGAATGGCATTTGCTGCTGCTGTTTTCCCCAGAGGAACTATAGGCTTGCGTCGCAGCGGCACCAACACCCGCTCCAACGGCAGGCACAATCCCGTTTTCTGCAACTTCCAGCAGCGCCTCAGCATATTCCCCAGCAGCAGCAATCCCTGATGATAGTACTGTTAAGTCGTTGTTGCTGTTGGCCTCCGCTTCTGCTGTTTCTGCATTTGCAGCAGCAGCAGCTGCTGCTGTCTTGCTGGTTTGCTGCAGGCCCCAAGTGAGGGCTGCGTCCGCTCGGGCAGTTCCACAGTCAGGGCACGCAGCTTCCTGCCGGTGCTGCTCCTGCTGCTGCTGCAGTTGGCGAAGGCGCCGTTGCTCCTGCCTTGCAGCTACCTTTAGTGCTTTCTGCGGTTCCTGTGCAGCAGTAACAGCAGCAGCGGCAGCAGCTGCTGCTGCCACCGCTGCTTGCGATGGGCCTGCCCCTCCCTGATAGCCCCGCCATTTCTCCAGTAGATGCTCTGGACAAAAAAGAGGCCTGAAGCAGCCACACCAATAGCAGCAACGGCAGTAATAGCAGTTCGCATGATCAGCATCGCAGATGAAGACAAAAGACAGCAGTGGCAGTAAAGTTGCACAAACTGTTGAGAAGCGGCAGCCGCTGATGCTGGCCGCCAGGCTTCTCTATGCCTTACAGCTCAGGAGCAGCAATGCATGTAACAGCAGAGGCAACAGTAGCATCGCCAGCAAGGGTGCATTTGCTTACAGATCTTGTCTTTGTTGGGTGACTCTAAGGTGGCAGGGTAGGTGTGCTGCAGCATCGCATTTGCTGCTGCTGCAGAGGCGGCCTGCACCTAGGGCCCCACACCAGCAGCAGCGGCTGCATGCGGCACGAAGCAAGCCACGTAGGAGGTTATACCACTGGCTGCCCTCAGCGCTGCTAAGAACTTCTTGGCAGTGGTAGCTGCAGTCTTCGTGCACCGCAACACGCAAACTCCTATTGCTGCCGCTACTGCTGTTGCTGCTGTTACTGCTGCTGCCGCCTGGGAGGGGAATGGTGATGCATCCCACAAATAAACGGTCCAGGGTTTGGCTTTCTCCGCAGAAGGCGCAGCGCACAGCTCCGAACCACTCACTGCGCTCTCTGTACGAAAATCACTCAAGACAGCAACAGCAGCAACAACAACATAAGCCGCAGGCGCATCAGAAACACCAGCGGGAGATGCAGCAAAATATTTACGTGCATGTGGGCCTCCCTAAAGAACTAGTCAACATAAAGCATCCCAGAAGAGCTCAACAGTAACAGCAACAGCATCTGCAGCAGCAGTAGAAGGATCCGCTGTGTATACACAGCTCACTCTGGCCGCGGCCCTTCTATGTGATCCTCATACACTACAGGGCAGCCGGTATTCTTTAGCCCGCCGCCTCCGCCCCATTCAAAGCAATCAAACAACATCCGCGCATCAGCTTTGCTATTAAAGTGCTGCAGAAGCAGAAAAAATACTGCTGCAAAACCAGACTATGGAGCTGCCAGTTGAGGGATATAAGGAGCTGAGAGAGGCCTTCCAGGCGGAAGTGGGGACCTAACACAGCAGAGGGGCTGAATCTATGGGTGAACAACAGTTTGCCTTACGATCGGTTTTTCAAGCTTTCTACGGGGGACGGTCCCAGTGACCCAATCAATTATGCGTTGCGCCTCCCGGCTTCCACTAATACAGGCACCTGCAGCAGCAGCAGCACCTCCCGCAGCGGGATTGCATCAGCATAAAGAGTAGCAAGTGCTGCGCACGTGAAGTGTTGGGGGCGGGGGAGCAGCAGCAGCATCAGTAGCACAGCAGCAGCTTTAGCACCCTTAGCAGCACAAGCCTTGAGACGCAGCCTCGGCAGCCTTTCCAGTCTTAGAAGCAGCGGCAACACCAACAGGAAGAGCGTGATGAGGTACCGTGTGCAGTAGAAGGATACGGCCTGATGGTATGTTCGCCTGCAAATAGAATCTTGCTGCTAACAGGAGCAGCAAGAAGGTCGAGGTCTCTGCCTGTTGCTCCTGGGGGCAGGTAAGAGTAACTGCCTCTGGCAAAAGGATCCCTTTTCCACCTCGAGACAAAAGCCGCAACAGGAAGAGACAATTGGCCGTGCAGCAATCCCAACACAGACAGAGCCTCCAGTAGGAGCACTTCCTTGGCACGAAACTCAGACCCAAAGGCAAATCGCCCAGATAACTGCAAAACAAACACACAAGAGCGAAAGCGTACTAACATCTTCATCTAGCTAGCTAGCTAGGTGCCTAGCTGCACAGCTTGCTGGATAGCTCGCTGGCTAGACAGCTTGCTGGTCATGTGTTGAGTGGCTTACCAGGATCAAGACAGCAGGTTTGGGGTGGAGGTATACGATTTGAGCGTAGGCGCCCTTTTCTGCTGAGGCCCATCCCTTCTGTCTACATCCCATTCGTAACACCCGGCCAGTTGCATCCACCTCGCCTGCTGCTGCCGCCGCTGCTGCCGCCGCTGCCGCTGCTGCTGCTTCTGCAGCGACCTGCGCCGCTGCTTCTGCAGCAGAGGATGCAGAGTCATCCGATGCAGCAGAATCACCAGCACCAGCACTCGTTTCAGCTACGTTGATACCGTTTAAGAGCGGTGCAACTGCTGTTGCTTCAGTCGATGCCGCTGATTCGCCCTGATGAAGCCCGTCTGCCTCCTGATGTTGCTGCTGTTCCTGTTGCGCCTGCTGTTGCTGGTCCGACTGCTGCGCAGCAGCAGCAGCAGTTGGGTTGGGAGCAGCACCAGCAGCAGCATCAGCACCAGCAGCACTTGAAGGGTGGATGAGGGGTTCAGTTGGCCAGAAGACTCTGTCGAAGACAATTACAACTTTATTTATCGCCCCCATTCCCACGACACGGATTGCCTCCGCCTTCCACTCCGGCAACGGTGGATTGAAGCGAACAAGACCTGCGTTGCTTCCTGCTGCTGCTACTGCTGCTGCTGATGATGCTGCTGATGCCGTTGATGCGTCTAATGATCCTGCTTGTGCTGCATAACCTGCCGCACTCGTAGCACCGCTCAAATATACTGTGGGACCTTCGCAGACACCGCCGCCGCTGCTGCCGCTGCTGTCGCTGCTGCCGCTGCTGCCGCTGCTGCTGAGAGCACGGAAGCAAGCACGCGCCTGTGCTGCTTCAACTGCTGCTCGTGCCGTGCTGCAAGCAGCAGCGACAGCAGCGCGGACACCAGCATCGATGGCTGATGAAGCAGCTGCAGCTGCTCCCCCCGCTGCAGGGATAGGGGACGCTGCAGTAGATGCTGCTGTAGCAGCAGCAGCTGCTGCTGTTGCTGCTGCTTCCGAATCTTCAAGAGAAACACCCCTTGCGCGCAGCAGCTCCTGTGCAGCGTTTGCCGCGGCAGCAGCAACAGCAGCAGCTCGTGTTTCAATTGAAGCAGCAGCTGCAGCGATTGCGTCTGACCCTCCTGCTGCCACAGCCGCCTCTGCTGCTGCTGCTGCTGCTGCTTCGGCTACAGCTGATGCCCTGGCCGCTGCAGCAGGAGTTACTCCCTGGGCTCGGACAGCAGCAGCAGCAGCAGCTGCTGCTGCTGCATCAAGCCGCTGCAGCAAAACGTTGCTACTGCGTCCCGGTGCTCCCGCTGGTATGGGAGCAGCTGCGGCTGCAGCTTGGTCTGCAGCAGCAGCAGCAGCAACAGCAACTTGCTGTTGTTGCTGCTCCGCAGACAACGAAGTGTCTTCCGTCCTGATGAGGCTGCAAATATGGTCTGGCAAAGCCAAAGGGATTGGCAATTCGTGAAAGCTGTCGAGACAGCCGAAATAGTTGTTTACTGCTGTTGCTGCTGCTCCCCCTCCTGCTTCAGCTGCACCCACCGTCGCAATCGCCGCCGCAGCAGCATTAGCAGCTGCTGCTGCGCTCGTTGCTGCTGCCGCTGTGTTCAGCTCCAAGCCGTGCAGCACCATCTTCCCGTAGCAGCTGCCGTTGGCCTCCGCTGCTGCTGCCGCCGCCGCTGCAGCAGCTGTTGCCTCAAAGCCCGCTGACATGCTGCGACTCATTGCCGCCTCCGCCATGCCGAGCATCCTTGCCGCAGCTGCTGTTGTCGCTGCAGCAGCTGCTGCTGCCGCAGGTAGACCTTGGCCTTCACCGGCGTCATCTGCTGAAGGTGCTACTGCCGCTTCTGCTGCTGTGGCGGCAGGGGCGGCTGCCGGGTCTAGGCCAGCGCATGTGCTGCTGCTGTTTGTGGTGCTGTTGTTGTTGCTACTGCCCCTGCTACCATTGTTTGTGCTCTTGCCGTCGGGACCGAATGCCTCTAATGAGGCCTTCAGCACACCTGCAGCAAACGCAGCCCATGCGCCGTTACCTACTGTGCAACAACAGCAGCAGCTGGAGCAGCAGCAGCAGCAGCAGCGCTTGCGCCGGCTTTAGCGGCATCCACAGCATCAGCAGCGTCATCATCAACAACAACAGTAATATTAGCAACAGCATTAGCACCAGAAGCATCAGCAGCTAGGGATGGGTACCAAGAGGCAGCGTAACGAGACAGAAGTCGAAGGAAGCAGTTTGTGGTCCTGATAGCAGCTTCAGCACGACGCCATTGTCTGTGATGCTGATTTGCTGCACAGCAGAATTAAGGTGTATCTTTGGGGGCCTCAACACCAACCGAGCTGTTGCTGCTGCTGTACCTGCGCCTGCTGCTGTTGGTCCTGCAGCTGGAGGCGCAGCTGCTCCTGCTGTTGCTGCAACTGAAGCAGGAGCAGCAAGACACTCCACAAGGGAACGATAGCCTCGCTGGAGCATCACGTGTCGACCCGGCAAGCCCGTAACGTCGTCCTGAACTCAAACCCTAAACCGAAACCCTAAACCCTAAACCCTAAACCCGAACCCGAAACGAACAAAATGGGAGTTGCAGTGTCTGAGGATACTTGATTGGTACCAACGCTGCAAAAGCAGCCGCACCGCCTGCACATCACGGCACGAAAGCAGCAGCAGCAAAGCTGTACCAACCGACACAGCAGCAGCAACAGCGGCACTAAAAGCAGGGGCAGGAGGAGGAACAGCAACATTATCATCATCCGCAGCAGCAGCACCTGGTCCCAAGTTGCAAGGCAGATATCATCTGCGTCTGCGCCAGTGGAATATTCTGTGTTAGAGATGTGCCATTCTAAAAGACGACGACGAGCCCCCCTGAGGCTTTCATGCTCCCTTCCAGCAGCTGCAGCAACAGCAGCAACAGCAGCAGCAACTAGGGTGAGAGTGAGCGCTAGTGCGATACGACATGTGCCAGGGCTGTTCTCAAGAATGGAGCAGAGCACGCACATGACACTGCATCTAGAGCAGCAGCAGTTGCTTCAGCAGAAACAGCGGATGCAAGATCAGCATCAACGGCAAGAGCAGCAGCATCAGCACCAGCAGAAAAAGCACCAGCCCACCTTTGTCTTGCTCCTCCATCTGGTTTAACGCGACCTCATTTTTCTCAGCTAGATATTGCCCAATTGAAATCTTAAGGGCTTCACGAGATGCATGCATGCAGACCTGCTGTTGCGGGTACTGCTGTTGCTGCTTCTGTACAGCTAGGAGGCGTCTGTATTTTGGCTGCTGGTGCTGATGCAGCAGCAATGTGGGGGCAGGGCGCTTCATTGGCCTGGTCTTCATTTGCAGTGTGTGCATGCGCTGGTGGGATTGCCGCTGCTGCTGTCTCTGTGGTTGCCGCTGCTGCAGCAGCTGCTGGCGCTGCAGCAGGCGGAAGAGCGTTCGCTGTTGCTGCTGGACGCGTTGCTGCTGCTTCTGGTGCAGCTCAGAACATTTGGGGTGTCTGCACAGCTTGTTGCATGCAGCTTTAATAAAAGCATCAACTTCTTGCTGCTGCTGCGTCCTTGTGGCCTCGCACCAGCTGTCCAGGCTCATGTCCGTTAGAGCACCATCTAGCCCGTACAGAGGCACAGATATCTCCATCTGCAGACGCACCACCAGCAGCAGCAACAGCAGCAACATCAACAGCAGCCGGAAGAAAGACATCGCATCTCGGAGGGCACCCTTTGAGAACGCAACAAACCTCTATCCGCGTCAATTTTTCAAATCGTTACACAACGGCTGTTGGTGCTGCAACTGCTGCTGCTACTGCTACTACATACATCTCGATCGTCGTCGCCGTAGACGAGGAGGCCGTAGTCCTTGCAAATACGATAGAGAGGATTTCCTTCAATGCCATGGATCCACGAGGCCCCCTGCAGCAAACGCAGCAGCATCTGGTCTCTAACTAGAGCTGTTTTGGTCTATGCAGCAACAGCCGTGTCACGTGGTGGTCCAGCAGCAGCATCCCGGCGTTTGCACGGTAAGCAGCTGGTACTGCTGCTCATGCTGCTGCTCCTGTTGCTCCTGCTGCTCCTACGGTGTCTCACGAGGTCAAGCCCTTCTATGCCTCCAACCTGCAAGCTGCAGCAACGTCCCCCAAGCCTTCCACGGGCCTCGAAGACTTCCACATACACTCCAAACGATGACAACAGCCGCGCGGCACTGCAACAGCAAGCAGAAGCAGCACACAGTAGCAGCATCAGCAAAGTAGCAGCAGGAACTTGAGTCCCATCAGTTAGTGGGGTTCCAACAACTGGTCCGAGCCCAACACCCTTTGCCTTTACGAGCCTAAACCCTGACAATAAATCCGAACTCTAAACCCTAAACCGTGAACCCTAAACTCCAAACCCGCAACCCTAAACCCTATATACCTCATGCCGGAAAGGCCAGCCCCTATGATGGCTACACGAGTCTGCTGCAACTCTTCTCGCTGTTTCCGCGACAGCTGCTGCAGTGCGCATGTGCGCCCAACACACAGACGGCGGCAGCAAGCAGTAATCGCTGACGCTGCTGCTGCTTCTGCTGCTGCTGCTTCTGCTGGTACTGCTGCAGCTTCCGCTTCTTCTTCGTCTTCTTCGTCTGTTGTGTGGTCTACATCAGCTGCTGCTTCTGCTACTGCTGCTGTTGCCTCAGCAACATCTACTGTATCTTCATTGCTCTGTGGAGAAACAGCTTGGGCTTCTGCTTCTGCAGCTTCCGCTGCTGCTGTCTCCGCTGCTTCTTCTGCAGCTGCTGCTTCTTCAGGCTCTGCTGCTTCTTCAGGCTCTGCTGCTTCTGTAGGCTCTGCTGCTGCTGTTGGCACTGCTGCTTCTGTAGGCTCTGCTGCTGCTGCAGCCTCCCCTTTGAACGGTAAGCACTGAACAGCAGCTGCTCCGTCTGCTGCTTCCTGAGGCATGTCCTGCTGCTGCTGCTGTACCGTAGGCGTAGAAATTGGAGACTCACTAGTAGCATCGGCTGTTTCTGTTTTCTCCTTAACTGCTACAGGGCTCGATATATTGGTAGCCGTTTGCACTGCTTCTGCTGCTGCTTCTGCTGCTGCTTCTGCTGCTATTTCTGCTGTTGCTTCTGCTGTTGCTGCTGTGCCAAGGGCTTCGTCATCTGTTGCTGCATCATCACTGCTGATAGGAGATAGAGAGGAGATGGGAGTTAATTCACACAATTCCTGCTGCCTGCGCATTTCCGCTGCAGCAGATTCAGCAGCAGAAGCTGCTGCTGCTGCGGCTCCTGCATCACTCCCTGCCAGCATGCGACTCTCCGGGTGCTGCCATTGCTGCTGTTGTTGCTGCTGCTTCTGTTGCCAAGCACGTGCATCGGGCCTAGAGGGTATTTCCCCCGCCTCTGGCGATACGTCCCGCGAGTACTGCTGCTGCTGCCGTCGTTGCTGCACTCGTTCCTCTTGCACTTGCTGCTGGTCACAAGGGGACCAAGACCAAGATGAATAGGAGCCGCCATGTTGTTGTTGTTGCTGCTGCTGTTGTTGCTGTTGCTGTTGCTGTTGTTGTTGCTGTTGTTGTTGTTGTTCTTGTTCTTGTTCTTGTTGTTGTTGTTCTTGTTCTTGTTGTTCTTGTTGTTCTTGTTGTTCTTGTTGTTCTTGTTGTTCTTGATCTTGTTCTTGTTCTTGTTCTTGTTCTTGTCGTTGCTGTGGTTGTTGTTGTCGTTGCTGCTGCTGCTGCTCCTGCTGCTGTTGCGTCACTGAAGAAGGCGTGCCAACTGGTCGATGACCAAGCCACTGCAGCTGCTGCTGCTGCTGCTGCTGCTGCAGTTGTCTCTGCTCCCATTGCTGCTGATGATGATACTGCTGCGGCGGCTGTACCTCTTGCTCTTGGGGCTGTACGGGCTGGTGGTAGGTCGGGTGCTGCACCTGTTGCTGCTGTGACTGCTGTCGCTGCAGCTGTTGTTGTTGTGTCTGTTGTTGCTGTGGTTGTTGCAGTTGTGGCTGCTGCTGCTGCAGCTGCTGTGGCTGTTGTTGCTGCAGCTGCTGTTGCTGTTTTTGCTGCTGCGGCGGCTGCAGCTCGTCATGCAGCCGTTGCTCGTGGTGCTCTCGTTTTTGCTGCTGTCGCTGCAGTACATTCGGTTGCAGCTGCTGCTGCTGCGGCTGTTGCATCCAGTTGTGCGGCGGGGTCTGCTGCGGGGCTGCAACATCTCGCTGCTGCTGAACCTGCTGCTGCTCCAATTGCTGGTGCTGCACGTGTTGCTGCTGTCTTTGTTGCTGCTGCACCAATTGTTGTTGCTGCTGCTGCGCTGTGTGCCAATCAAGTGGGGTCTGCACCTGCGGCAGATGCAGCAGGGGGTCCTGCTGCAGGAGTGGAAAGCCTTGGGGACCCCCCAAAAATGGGCTCCCCAAAGGGGGGCCCAGCAGATGAGGGGGCCCCAAAGGAGGGGCCCCCAAGGGAGGTACCCCCAAAGGAGGAGGGGGGCCCAGGGGAGGAGGCGGGCCCAAGGGAGGGGGGCCCAAGGGAGGGGCCCCAAGGGGACGGGGGGGCCCCTCACGTCTATGTCTGCGGCTTCTTGGATGCCGCATTAGGCGCAGGCATCAGGAACAATGCAGCAGCCTTGCGTAGGTGGAGCTGGGTGCTTGATGCTGCTGCTGCTGCTGTTCGCTGTGTTGCCGCTACTGCTGCAGTCATGGTGGCACGAGTGCTGCGGTCATCCCCTGTAGGTATTTAGCAGCTGCAGCATTTGCTGCTGCAGCTGGTTCTGGTGTTGCCGTTCCTCTGTCCACTGCTGCTGCTGTCGTTGCTGCCGCTTCTGCTGCCGATGCATCGAGCCTTTCGCTGGCAGCCTGATGCAGTGCATGTTTCCAGCGCATCAGCAGCAGCAGCAGCAGCAGGCAAGGCAGACAATAGAGAGCTACTTGTGCTGCTGCCGTTATAAACTTTCACGTGCTGTACCCTAGGGTTCTCTGCAACCCTGTGCAGACATCAGGGGGCAGTGAGGGCCCCCTCGTCCGTCCTATTGGGATTTATTTCTTTAAATAAACTAATAAATTAATATATTACATTTTTATTAAAAAGATATTTTTTCCCTTTACGAGGGCCGTCATTGCAGGAATGGGTGCGGAACCCGAGGCTTGCAAGATAAGTTTCGAGCACGGGTTTAGGGTTTAGAGTTTAGGGTTTATGGCTAGCCTTGAGGGCCGTTTTTGTGTGTACAGTTCGTTTTAGAGGTAAAATAATGATTTTTTTATAGTGTTAGGGTTTTGTCGTGTTATTATGCATTGCTTGGTCATAGGCGGAAGGATAAGAAGAGGGTTTACTTTAGGGTTTCGGTGTTTATAGTCTAGTCGTAGCACTACTCCCTGCTGTTGAGGAATTTAGGGTTTAGACTAATTGCTAAATTTATGTGAGTGCTAGTGGCTATCGGCTTAATAAGTGTTTGTAGGTTAACTCTATGTCAACACAAAGAATGACAAAGATATGAGCCGCTTTTATGTAATTTAGTGGGTTTTGAAAACAGCAAGGGAGGGGCAATAAGGGGACATTCTTACGAAAAGCGTAACCGAGGTAAAAATTTTAGGGAGAAAATCATTCAGATAACCCTCTAATTGTCTTACTTTTTCCTATTCGCTACTCGCACAAGGCCGTAAACGCCTACTACTTAGAGAGGCAGGTGGAGAAGTAGCCTCACAGCCGCTGCAGGAAACCTCCGTGCAGCAAGTGTTTGCTTCACCAAATCTTGCTGCATCGAATGCTGCAGGCACATGCTACGGCACGGGCCCACACCTTGTCTGGACAAAAGAACTTCCTCGGCTGCATACAAGAAGAGTGCATATAGTATTGATTCAGGCATCTGACTGTAGTTTACGGCTAAAGGGGTTTATGGCTATGGTTTAGGGTTTACGTTTACGGCTCACAGCTAGTGTTTAAGGCGAGAACGCACCACTACAGCCACCAGCAGCCGATGACAGCAACTGCTGCGCCTCCATTGGAATTTACCACAAACCCTAAACCCGACACCCTGAGATTCACTTGGCAGCATTGGCAGGCTATTCCCAACATTAGGGTTTATGCCTCGGCGTTACGTTCCCTAATTGAGGTTCTGCAGGGGACATTATATATACAATTTAGGTTTTTACCTATTGACCCAACAGCAGCAGGGTTTAGGCTGATGCTTCTTCTGCTGTAAACTCACAACCCTAATGGGCTTCTCGCTCAACTTATGTATACGTAAGGGCTAGCTGTTGCAAGCTATGGCTACCTGTGGCTACCTGTATCAGGCTGTTGCTGTCGGCGACTATCTGCAACTCGCTGTGGCTCGCAGAGACGATCGTGCAAACCCTAAATCTTCTTCTCAAAACCGTAAACCCTCAACTAAGCCCTAATGGCAGCTGCCTGCAGCACAGAGGGTAGCTGAAGGATGAGCTGGATACTAGCAGCATACTAGCAGCAACAGCAGGAGCGCTGCGGAGTCAGCAGCACCGGCAGGAGCGCATCAGAAGCAGCATCGGCAGGAAGACAGGTTCTTAAAGAATGAGGTAGAAAGAGAAAAGCAGTTCGGAAACAAGGATTTCAGGGTTTAGGGTTTAGAAATTGGGGTTTAGGGTTTGTGATTAAGACAGAGGAAGCAACATGCCGTGAATATTACGCGGCGTTCTTCCCTCAAATAAGGAAGAAAGTCGACGCAATTCCTCCAAACAAAGATATGCAACAAATGCAGGCCAAGGCTGTGATAATGCGCGCCCGCTCTGCAAGAGCAGCAACGGCAACAGCAGCAGGAGCAGCAAAACAGCAGAAGCAAAGCAGCAAAGAATAAATGTAATGATACATGTAAATGAAGCGAATGAAGAAAGAACAACATTACACAGGGCATAAAAACAGCAGCAGCAACGCACGTCTAATCCAGTAGCAGCAGGAATCGGAGAAACAGCAACTATCACCACATACTAAGATAGTGCCACTGCAATAGCTGAAGCAGCAGCAAACCAGCAACAACAACAACAACAGCAGCAGCAGATGCCGCTGCTTTCCGCACCGCAAGTTGCAACACATGATGCTGTCGTTGCTGCTGGTGCTGCTCTTCTTGATGTTGCTGTTGCTGCTGTTTGTGGGCTTACGAGTTGCTGATCCTTCTGAAGCAAATCGCCATAGAAGTTCAAAAACGAGACGCGGTACCGCGACTTGGCAAAACGCAGCAGCGCCTCATCCTTCTGCTGCGGCGGCGGCGGCGGTGGCGGCGGCGGCGCTTGCTGCTGCGCTTGTTGGTGCGGCTGCTGAGGGCTGAGAGACCGAGGGGAGGCAGTGGCATCAGCAGACGAAGGCGGCGAGGTGCTGGCATCGTCGGCTTCTGCCGCTGCTGCTGCTGGTGGTGCTGCTGCTGGTGTTGTTTCTGCCGCTGGTCCTGGTGCGGATGTTGCTGCTGCTGTTGCCGAGTCGCTGCAGTTTGGTGCAGCAACGATGCCTCCCGCAGCTGCATTTGCTGCTGCTTCTGTGCACTTCTCGCCCTCCTGTGTGCTGTCGTGCTGCTGCTGCTGCTGCTGCTGCTTCTGGGGAGTTTGATCTTTCTGCTCCTGCTGCTGCTTCCCTTGTTGTCCCTCCTCTAGATGCTGCTTCTCTTGCTGCTGCTGTTGCTGCTGCTGCTGTCGTGAGAAGACAAGTACACCGTCATGGGTAGCGTAGAGACACTGCATAATTACTGTCTCGTCTTCATCTGTCTCCCCTACCACAGCAATGATATCGCAGAAGATGCGGTACCTCAGCGCAAGCAGCAGCAGAAGGAGCATCAGGAGCAGCAATGAGCAGCAAGTGCTGGTCCAGCTAAATCCTTGCATGCATTTGCAGCGCTCACCTCTTTGGTATGATATATCCCATCCGAGGATGAGGTAAACAGCCTCTCGCATTGCGCTGCAGAAACAACACACACCTGCTGCTGCTGCCGTTATTGTTGCTGCTCCTGTTGCTGTCGTTTCTGTTGTTGCTGTTGCAGCACGAGGTCCCACCCGAAGGGCCGCAGCCGAAAGACCCAAATACAGCAGCCGCAGCACAACAACAACATCTGTACCAGCAGCAACAGCAGCTGCACATGGTGCAACAGCAGCACCACTTGTGCCAAAGCAGCAGCAACAGCAGCAGTTACAGCGGCAGCAGAAACACCAGCAGCATCAGCCTACGCTATCTGCTGGACGCAATGCTGCTGCAGCAGCTCCATCTTCTGCTTCGTCCTGTCGATCTGAACACAACACTCCCCAAGACAGTTGCTGCTCCTCCTGCTGTTGCACATTCGTGTTGGACCGGAGTAGCGAAGGCAGCAGACTGCCGCACGGGTTTCAAGACTTAAACAGCATGTGCTCGCAGCAGACAGTGCTGTTGCAGTAGCAGCGACAAGACACGATAGGAAGCAGCAACACACCGAGGAGCACGACAATCAGGGGGGAAATTGCCACAAGAAGCATGAGGGAAAGCAGCAGTGGCAAGCACAGCAACAGCAGCAGCATCAGCAGCCGCAGCAGCAGCATCAGCAGCAACAATAACTGCAGCAGCAGCAGCAGCAGCAATGCTAACTTCTGCTTCCAGTGTCTGCACTTTTTCGGCCTGATTCGCAGCTTCCCCTGACCCCCCACGCAGCATCGATTCCAACGTAGACACCCGCTCCAGGGCCCGTTGCTGCAGCAGCAACAGCAGCAGCAGAAGCAGCAGCAACAGCAGTTCATATCCTGATTCACCCATTTGTAGTCACCCGCAAAAGCTGATCTCAAGCGGCATCATCCGGAGCAAGTGCAACAGCAGCAACAGCACGAGCAACAGCAGCAGTACCAGCAGCATCAGCAATAGCAACAGCAGCGAGCGGTTGTGTTAAGGCTCACGAGCTGCGTTTGGAGGCTGCGTTCTCTGCCCAAACAAACAGAGACATCAGAAAGCTCATTCAGCAGCTGGCCTGCAGCAGCAGCAGCAAGGCAAAAGCACCAGCGGCAGCAGCAAGCATAAACTCCAGTAAAAAGTGAGAAGAACATGTGATTAGCCTAGCCGCAAGCAAGGCATATGCGCTGCTGCATCTGTTGTTGCTATTTCTGCCCCTGCTGGTGCTGCTGCTGCTGCTTCTGCTGCTGCTGATGATGAATATGATGTGGGGTTTGTAAGTGCAGCACGTTTACTCTGGCGCTTCTCGAGCTCCGCTGCCTCTGCGGCTTTGCGCTGCAGCTCGGCCTTCAAGCGAGCGTTCTCCTGAAAGCAGCAACAGCAACAGCAACAGCAGCAGCAATTGTAGCAGCAAAAACAGCAGCAGCAACAGCAGCACAGTGGGGAAGGCCATCTACAAACGCTACAAGCAGAAGCTGCTCGTCACCATCGCACACTCTGTGTTGGTTGCCTCAACAACAAGGAGAAATGCAGCACCAACAGCAGCAGCAGCAGCAACACACAGCAAAAGCAGCAACTACCTTTGCAAGCTGCTCATTCTCAAGTGCAGCACTCGCGCGTCTCCCCTCATTCTGCTGTAGCCTCTCCAGCTCCGTCTCCTGGCGCTGCAGCTGCAACACCAAACGCAGCAGCAGCAGCAGTAGCAGCAGAAAACGCATGCAAGGGGCAGCAGGTTCAAATGTGAAGCGCCTAAATGTAATAGATCGCTGCTGTGCTTCAGCAAAGGAGCGGACTCACCAGTTGCTGCTGCTGCTGCAGCAGCTGCTTCATGCGCTGCATCTCCTCTTGGGACTCCGCGAGCTGCTCTTGCAGCTGTTTGCTGCTGCTGTTGTTGCTTCCGTCTGCCGCTGCTGCTGCAGTGGGCTGCAGCAGACGCTCAATCTGCTCGCTTGTTGCATTCAATGCCCCAGCAAGCTTTACCTGTAACCAGCAGAAAGACAGCAGCAGCAGCAGCAGCAAACACAGCCGTTGAGACTACGCCAGTGGTCACATCTGCTCCCTAGAGGCCAACAAAGCCATACGTGCTGCTGCCGCCGTTACTGCTGTTGCTGCTGTTGCATGCGGCATTCGCACCTTCAGAAGCTCGTTTGCTGTTTTCTCTGCAGAGAGCTCACGCTGATATTGCCGTTGCTGCTGCTGCTGCTGCAGCTCTGCTTCCTCCAGCTGCAGCTTCAGGGCAGCTGCTGAGTCTTTTTGGTGCTGCAGGAGCAACGCGCACGGGACAAGGAGCAGTGGCAGCAGCAATAGCAGGAGCAGTAGCAGCCGTAGACATGGTGCAGCAGCAGCAACATCTGCGAGGCCTGTCTACAGCTAAAACCTGCAAAGGGCTCAGTACTGCTCTTGCTTCTGCATGCAGCTCACTGCAAGTTCCCGCTGTAGCTGCTGCTGCTGGTGCTGCAGCTGCTGCAGCTCTGCTTCTGCTTGTCTGCTTGTAAACTGCAGCGCCTGGACAGAATTAACCAGCAGCAGCAACCAGCGGCGGAAGGCCTCGCGGGTAGGGGTTTCCTCAACCACAAATGCTGCAGCAGCAGCAGCAACAGCAGCAGCAAACGCATGCACCAGTTCTTAATGAGTTGGGCTTGTGTTGAAACCTGTACTCGCGAGCAGCAGTTGCAACAGAAACTTCAGCGGCACCAGAAGCAGCAACAACAGCAGCAGCAAGCAGCAACAACAGCAGCAGCATCACTAGTACAGTCAACCACAAAAAAAAGTAGCATCACAAACTACAGCAGCAGCAACAGCAGCAGCAACAGCAACAGCAACACAAGCAAACCCCACATGCAGCCAACTTCTGCCACTGCATGAGCTCGGCAAGGAGATCTTGGCGCTGCAGTTCTGTCTCTTTTAGGTCTCTTGTGCAATCTAGCAGCTGCTGCTGCTGCTGCTTCTGCTGCTGCTGCAGCTCCTCGTGGTGCTGCAGCTGCTCCTGCCGCTTTGCTGCTTCTACCAGCTGCTGCTGCAGCTCCTCCTTCTCGCGCCGCAGACTCTGCATGCGGAACGTGTCAGCAGCGGCAGCAAGATAGTAGTCACAACATCGCGAATCACGCGTGGACAGCAGCAGCAGCAGCAACCACAGAAACAGTAGCAGCTGTTCGGCTGCAGCGAGCCAACAACAGCGGCAACAGCAGCAACAGCAGCAACAGCAGCAAGAAACCCACAGCGTTGGCATCCTGAAGCCTCTCCAGGCACTGTCTTTCGTTAATGCCCTGCAGCAGGCAGCAGCAACAACAGCAACAGCAACGGCAACAGCAACACCAGCAGCAGGGATGAGAGTAGCAGCAAAGGACGGATCCAGATGCCATAAATAAATAACTAAACACAAAATAAAATAAAATAAATAAATAAATAGATAAATATTAACGTACTCCTTCCTTGATGCTGCGAACAGCAGCAAACTTCTCCTTTGCTGCATTCAACTCCATCTGCAGCGCCTCCTTCTCAAGGCGGCTGTCGTCAGCAGCCTGCAGCAGCAGCAGCAACAGCAACCAAAACAGCAACAGAATCAGAAGCAGCAGCAAAAGCAACAGCAAGACAAGGGTAGGAAACAACCCGATGACGTCACATTTCTTGCTGCTGTTTCTGCTGTTGCTGCTGCAGGTAGTACTGATGCTTCTGCTGTTGTTGCTGCTGCTGGTGCTGTTGCTGCTGTTACTGCTGTTGCTGCTGCTGCTGCTGTTTTCTGTTCATACCAATTTTAAAGCCTGAAGATGTGCCGTTTCTGTCTCTTGCTGCTGCTGCTTGAGCTTCTCCAACATTTGCTGCTGTTGCTGCAATCGGACTGCCACCTGCTGCTGGTGCTGCTGCTTCTCGCGTTGCAGCTGCTGCTGCAGTTGAGCGAGTTCATCCTGAAGGGCTTGCGTGGCTGCCTGATGCTGCTGCTGCTGCTGCTGCTGCTGCTCCCGCTGCTGCTGCAGCAACCCTTCTAAGCTCTGCACTCGCTGCTGCAGCGAATCCTTGCTTGATGCTGCTTCCTCTAGATCGCAACTTAGCTGTACGACGCGCTTTTGTGCTGTCTGCAACAGACACAGCAGCAGCAGAAGCAGTATCAATAAAGGGAGCAGCGGTACTAGCAGCTAGTACTGCTGCTGCTGCTGTTCTGTAGCAGCTGCTGCAGCATCTTACGGCGCGTCGAGCAGCAGCAAAAGGAAGCCACTTGTAGTCAGTGTCCGTGTCCGTGAAGGGGCTGCTGCTGCAACACGAGTTTTGCTGCTGCTGTTGCTCCTGCACAAAGTGCTGCTGCTGCTCACCGTATATGCTTCTGCTGCACTTGCCTTAGCAGCAACAACTTCTGCTTCTAATTGGTGTAATCGCCGCTGTAGTTTCTCCTCTTTCTCCTCCGCCTTACCTGCACCAGAGGCAGCAAATAAAACAAATGCTGCTGCTGCTGCTACTGCTGTGGGTAGCCGGCCGTGAGACCCACATGCAGAGCGAAGGCCTGAAGCAGCAACTAAGGGAACCGCAGCAGCAGTAGCTGCTGCTGCTGCTGCGCTGCTAATGCAGGGTCCCAACAAAAGAACCCCACAGGAAAATGATGATAACCTCCTTACATTTTTGTTTCTTTTGCTGCTGCTGCAGTTGCTGCAGCTGCCTCTTTAAAGTATCCTTGTCCTTCTCTTCGTGCTGCTGCTGCGATTGCATAAACGCTTCATCAGCAGCAGCAAGACGAGCTCGCAGCTCCTCTACCTGCACCTCCTTGGGCTTTGCTGCGCTGTCCTGCAACAGCAGCAACAGTAACAGCAACAGCAGCAGCGCATGCACAAGCGCTCTAGCAATATCGACAGACGTACAGCGAGAAACACCACACTCAATGCAGCAGCCGCTGCAGCAGCAGGTTCTTTGCTGCAGCAGCAAACAAGCTGCTGGCATGTATATACATCTGAAGACGGACTCTAGCTGCTGCTGCTGTTGCTTTTGTATGCAGAGACCCTCTACCACCGCAGCAGCAGCCAGCACTCAAGGGATGCAATTAGGGATTAGGGTTTAGGGTTTACGTTGCATCGCTCAAGAAGAGATTGTGTGCATGCAGCCATTTGCCTAAGGCGCTGTCGAGCCTGCGCTAGCCGCAGAGCAGCAGAGGAGGTGCTGCCACCTCCATTCTCTGGTTCTCCCATTGCTGCTGCTGCTGCTGCTGCTGTTGCTGTTGCTCCCGCTGCTGCTGCTGACTTGCTGCTGCACCTGCTGCAGCGCTGTGAGCAGCAGTGATCACGCAGCTGCTTCCTTGCCGCTGATGCAGTGGTGATGACCCTACAACAGCATCAAGGGAGCAGGCTGCTGTTGCTGCTGCTGTCGCTGCAGCATTTGCTGCTGAAGCAGCAGCCACGAAAAAAGTCGTGCAGGGGTAACTAAAAGGATGGGCTACAGAAAGCCCCAGAATTACGATTAAAAAGTAGAAAAAAAAATATATTATCTACAGATATACACTAGGGGCCCCCCGTTGCATGCAGCAGCAGCAGCAACAGCAGCAGCAGCAGCAGCAGCCATCGACCCCACCACCATGTCTGACAACTGGCTGCTGCTGTCTGTGTAACAATCACTTAAAAAGTATATATTTAATTAATAATTAAATGATTATTTGTTTATTATTTTTGTATATTTTCAATTAGTTATTATTATAACAAAGTTCTTTCCTTTAAGAGCCTGATGCCTAGAAGGGCACAGGGGGCCCCCCGAGGGCCCCCCTCCTGCTGCTGAGGAGATTATGCAATAAAGAACTCCTCTTATGTCTTTATTTATTATTTGTTCTTTTTTATTATAAATGCGTGCATGCATGCATACATACATAGATGCATACATACATAGATGCATGCATGCATAGATGCATGCATTATACATTCAATGTTTGCTGCGTTTGAATGATCCTCTGGGCCGCCCTCTGCGGTTGCCGTTATGAGGCACGGGACCTCTAGCCGCTGCTGCTGCTGCTGCATCTGCTGCAGAAGCCGCTGTTGTCGCTGCTGCTTCTGCTCTTTTACGTTTGCTGCTGCTGTTTGTGCATGTGGAGGCATCGTCTACGCGCCTACATTCAGTGGCTGAAGCAGCAGAGTCCTGTCTCAGAGCAGCAGCACCAGCACCAGCACCAGCAGCACCAGCAACATCAGTTGTTGTTGTTGTTTCTGCTGCTGTTGCCCTGCTGTTGTTGCTATTTCTTGTCTGTCTTATTAGCTGCTGGTGTTGCTGCTGCTGTAGCGTTGTATAACAAGACGCATGTGTTCCTTGATATATCCTGGATCTATCATACAAAATGGATAATATATATAATAAATATAATATATATATATTTGTTGTATTGGGGTGTATATACACCTGAATTACCTATAATATTTTCCTCTTCCTGGAGTTTTACTAATTAATCCATCATTTAACATTTTATTTATTAATTCTTCTGCAACATCTGCAGAGACAACACAAAAAGAAGATATTTCCTCTTTTGTTATCTTTTGCTTCCTTTGTGCTATTTCTTTACATTGTTCTATTAAAGCTGCTGCTGCTCGCATTACATCATGCTGCTGCTGTTGCTGCTGCTGCTGTTGCTGTTGCCTTTGCTGCTTATGTTGATTATTAATCTAAGGAGATTACTCATTTATTATTATATATCTTTATTTAAAGGGAATATTGTTATTACCGATAAAGGGACGAAAGGGGCCTTTTTTGCTTCTTTTACATGTCTTGTTGCTGCTCCTTTAGTTGCTGCTGCTGCTGCTGCAGTATTCTTTAATGCTTCTCTTAACCCTTCTTTAGGTAATACACAATTATGAGGATCATCTGAGATGTACATACACCTGAATAAGAATGGAGGATTATATTGGTGCTCTTTATTACCTGCTGCATCGAGAGGGTAAACTTCCCCTCTTCCTTCCCTTGGGGGGCCCCTACTTGCTATGGGGGGGCCCCGATGCTGTAACGGAATAGGAGAACTTTCTATGCCTTCCTGGGGGGCTGCTGAATAATAGTGGTGTTGTTTGCTGCTTCTTGCATAAGGCTTATCTGCTATGGGATGCTGTTGCTGCTGCTGTTGGCGCTGCTGGTGCTGCTGTTGAAGCTGCTGCTGCTGAAGCTGGTGCTCTTGCAGCTGCTGTTGGTGTCGCAGCTGCTGTTGCTGCTGCTGCTGTTGGTGCTGAAGAGAAGGAGAAGGACACGCGAGGTTTCTTCTTTCCCTTGCATCTTTTACTGCGTATCAAGGGCACAACATGCAAAAAGTGAGTATAAATAGGTCTTCTTTAACTAATTTATTTGTTTTTTTATTTATTCATGTCTATATTTACCTGCAAAACCAGAAGAACGGAGCTGATCTAGAGCAGCAGCAATAAAAGGCTCGGAGTTCTTTCCCAGTTTGTTAACAAGACGATCGATGTCATCTTCCTCTAGAAACACATAATTTGATGGAATCGTTTCCTTATTTCTCTTTATCTTTTATTTATTTTATTTGTTTTTTATTTATGTTGTTTATTGTTTGTTTATTTCAGTGCAATTTTAGTGCATCCTTTTCTGTGGTGTCACCTGTGGCTAGGATGTAAGCCTTGACCTCCTCGACAATGCGCACAACTAAATAAAGAAAATAAAATTAAAATTGTTTTCCTTTTTATATTTAAAAAACTAATTATATAAACAACAAAACTTATGAATAAAATGATCTATTTTCCTCCATTTATTTATTTCTTTGTTGCCTTACCAGCAGCGCGATCACCTACGAGCGCAGGCGAAATATGCGGAGGATCGGCGAGGGATTGAATGGAGAGTTTAAGAGAATGATGTTTTGTATTTATCTGTTAATAATATAAAAACATAATTATTATTTATTTACATATTTTTGTTTACATTTAGATTATATTTATATTACTTAATAGCATAATTTACTTATGTCTTTACCTTTTCGCTGATAGCCGTGAAGGGCACAACACCACCAAAGGATATGTCGTCAATCTTTTGTATAAATCCTTTAGGAACATAATTATGGGGAATCTGCATCCAAGTATGCATGCACGTAAAAGCACAATTAAAATGGGGGTTTTCTGTCTTTTTCCTTTATTTGTATCTCCTTACTGTTGTCCTATTGAAGAGGAGCTGAAAGATATATAAATATAATGTATAAATATAAAAAAGAAGAAAAATGGCTATCTTTTATTTCTTACCCTTAAAGATACGTAGGCATTATCAGGTAAAGGATCAAGTTGCTGTGTTATAGCACAAAGCGACTGCAGCAGCTAAAAAGGCGTCATTAAATGCATGCATGCATGCATACATGCATGCATGCAATAGTGCATGCACCCAATAATGCATGCATGCATGGAGCAATGTGGTGTATGAATTGTTTTACGGCTTCTGTTTGTCTCTTTGCTTCTGCCTTTGATACAGGAGGACCAATAGGACGAGATTCCCTTGTAGTAGTCTTGCTGCTGCCTTTATTAAAGGCAACAGAAACAGCAGCAGCAGCAGCAGCAGCAACAGGTTGATTATTAGTGCTACTACCGTCGCCATAACCAAAGGTAAACTCGTAAGACTCTAATAAAGCGTCTGTTTCCTCTTCATGAATACCAAGAAGCAGTTGTTGTAAACACTCCTAAAGGGTTATTTATTTATTTAATATATAAATAAGGAAATATAATATAAATACATATACATGTATCTAAATAAATATATACATATATATGTCTGTATGAGGGTAACTTAACGTACTTTTTGTAATGCCTCATTAACACCCGTACGAAGAAGACGAACAAGAAAAGATGATTTTTTATCAACAGGACGTAATTGAACTAATTTTAATCCTTCAAACCATACAGAAGCAAAAGCATCTTCACTAAATATGTTACGAAGATATAAAACAGAAGAAACACCTAAAGAAACTGTATTCTTTAGTATCTGCAATGACTGCTGTCGTGTTGTCACATCTATGCGCGTTCTTGTCGTAACTTGCATCATCTTCAGTCAATTAATTAGTAGAGATAAAAAGAAAACAAAACTAAACAGAAATAAACATAAAAATGCTTTTTTTAATTCTTTTATACGCCGCAAAATGCACTGATGAAAGTCTTAGTTGGCAACGACTACGAGCTGCCTATACACCCGAAACGAAATGAACTTCCTCCTTATACATTTATGATTAATAGAGGGAAAAAGAATATAAAATTCTCCCTCTGTGCCTCTTTTCTAAACAGTTATTACTATATTTATTATTGTATTTCTAAGGTGTCCAATTTATTCATTTCTTTATGTTGAGATACCGCAAGAACGATGCAGATAGTCCTTCGGATCTTCTTATCTTGCAAAATGCGTATATAACACCATAAGGAGGAAAAAGAAACCATTGGATATTCACTTCTTCTCTTCTGCTTAATTTAAATAAATGAAGAGAACCATTTATTTTATTAAATAAAAGAGAACCATTTCTTCTTTATCTTATTGAAAGTAATCAATACAAGGAAAATAATTTTTTTCTTCAATCGCATGCATTCGTGTCGTTTTGAAGATGATGTGCAGGCACCATTAAGAGGCGATACAACAAAAACAGCAACAGCAGCAACAGCAGCAGCAACAGCAGAAGCAGCAAGATGTGTGTGTTGCTTGCTGCACAAGAAGTTGGGCATCATCTTCGCAATATTATCATTAAATAGAGTTTAAAGGAGAGATTAAATGCTAAAAATAAAAGAATAGCTTGCAGCAGCAGCAGCTGCTGCTGCAAGCTATTCCTGCTGTTGCAGTAGCATCAAGCCTGTGGCGTTCGTACAGGAGATGTCTGCAGAACTGCTGCTGCTGCTGCTGTTGCTGTTTCCATTTGGTCAGCAGCAGATGTACATACAGTAGCAGCAACTGCATGCAGACACTCCAATTTCTCCTTTAGTGTTTGCTGCTGCGCTGTTTGTTCATTTATTCCTTCTAATACATCAGCAACCTGCAACAAGAAAAAAGAAGAAAACAAACGTTTGTTTTTCTTCTTTTCTTCTTCTGTATTCTGTATTATTATATTATCAGGGGTTTTAAGGGTTTACTTATGCTCATTGCTTGCGCTAAGTATAAATACTGCCTTGTAGGACAATAAAACCCTAAACCCTAAACCCTAAACTACCCACAAGCATGCATGCATACATTCTTGCATGCATGTGTTGGCAACAGCCCGTGTGAAGTAAAACACTAGAATATCCGGTAATTAAGGGTTTAGGGTTTAGGGTTTATTGTTTAGGGTTTGGGGTTTACATCAGCGAATCGTTGTTTGGCTTGTGTAAGATGGCCATTAATAAGATAAATATTATTAATTAAATTTTTACAAGGAATAATTTTATTATAAAGAGAAATAATAATTTTTTCTGGTGAATAATCAAGAAGTTCTTCTTCATCTAATAATCCTCTCTCTTGCTCCCAACGTTGCTGCTGGCGCTGCTGCTGCTGTTGCTGCTGCTGCTGCTGCTCCTGCTCGTCTAAGCAGCAGCGCACCACACCTAAACGCGCAGACATCTCCGATAAAGGAGAAGGATCAGCCACCAAAGACAGCAGACGGTGCAGTCGCGAAGCCAACTCTGCAGCAGCAGCAGCACAAGCAGCAGCAGCGCTGTTATCCGCAATAAAAGGAAGATAATGGAAATGGTGCCTTGATCATATCCAGCACGGCAAACGCTATACTAGCTAACTGTTGGCTAGCTGTTCAGCTGGCTGTTCGCGCATGTGCTTGTCTAGCTGCTTAGCTAGCTCCATGGCTAGCTGGCTGGCTAGCTGTCCGGCTAGCTAGGTGCTGCTCACCGGCGAGGGTTGGGGCCTCTGGGTCTGCCTCCCATTGGCGAGCCAACTCTAAGACCTCGGCATCTGCTGTTGCCGTTGCTTCTCCTGTTGCTGCTGTTGCCGCTGCTCCTCCTGTTGTTGCTGTTGCTGCTTGAGGCACACAGAGTTGCTCAAGCCCTGCGACGAAGACCGGCATACAGCAAAGGGACCAGGACAGGACTCTGAGGGAGCTCTGTTGCCGCTGCTGCACTAAAGGCTTCTGGTGTCGTGGCTGCCACTGCGTTGGTGCTGGGCAGGAAAAGCTATGTTTAGGTGGCCGCTGAACGTGGGCAGCAGCAGCACAGGCGGCAGCAGCAGCACACACAGCACAACCATCACTAACAGCAACAGCAGCACCAGCGGCAGCAGCAGTCAGCTCGAGCGTACGCTTAAGTCTGTCTTCGAGGTGCAGCAACCGCCTTGCAGCAGCAGCTCGTGAGGCGATTGTTAGATGTGAAGCGTCCTACAGCATCTCACAAAACCCTAAACCCTATACCCTAAACCGTAAACCCCTTTTTCCCCACCCCTATGCCTGCAGGTTGTTGCCCTCAACTCACCAACACCTCTAGAGAGCTGCTGAAGCTGCAGCTGGACCGCTGCTGTCGCCGTTGCCGCTGCTGCTGCTGCTGGAATTGCAGCTGCTCCTGCGCAGATACAGGTTGAAGTACAGCAGATGCTTGCATGCCTTAGGCGTTAGCAGCAGCAACAGCAGCAACGGCAGCAGCAGCAGCAGCAGCAGCACAAAAGATGAATGGGTGTATTAAGAAGGCTTGCCAAGGCGAGAACCCAAGCAACTGTTGCTGTGGCCTGCCTGGCTTGTGCAGCTATTGTGCCTCGTACTGCAGCAGCACCAATCTTGTGCCTTGTGCAACAGCATCAGCAGCAAACCAGCGTAGCACACCTTGGCGCCTCGTACTAATGCCGACATCTCTATACAAGATTTGGGGCAGTACAGGGGAGCAAGCAGGCCTCCTGTGTCTGCTGATTCATCAATATCCTGCTGCTGCTGCTGCTGCGGCTGCTGCTGCTGCTGCTGCTGTTGCTTGAAGAGGACCTGCTGCAGCGCAGCATCTGCTGCCACTCCCTCGCGCACAGCATTTTGTGCTTCCTGTGCTGCAGCTGATAAAGAAACGGGAAAAGGAGACAGCAAACAGCAAAAGACATACAGGGATGCAAGCAGCAACACTACCTCCTGCTGCTCTTGCTCCTGCAGCACACGCTGCCGCTGCGTTCCCTCTGCTAACTACCGCCACAATTTCAGCAGCAGTAGGTTTAAGCAGCAGCTGCTACTCAAACAAGTTCTTTCCCTTTTAGGGTTTAGGGTTTAGGGTTTTTATTTGTCTAAGAAACTACTCTACTGTATGGCCTACCCGCTAATGCTTCGTTTGAAGAGAGGATATAAGCAGCTACAGAGGAATTATCTTCGTGCTGCTCCTCCTCCTTTGCCGTGTCTGCATACTCGCAGAGACTCTCCTGCAGCAGCAGCAGCAGAAGCAGCAGCAGCAGCAACCGGTGCATGCAGAAGTGGGAGCATTGCAGCCTCCCTCCAACCAGAAACAAAAGCAGCAGAATATCCCGTAGTCCCACCCTCATAAAGCGGCACAGCATCATCAGCTGAAGTCTTAGAAGAAGCAGCAGCAGCAAGAGGAACAAACACTTCAGCAGCAACAACATCAGCACCACCATCAGCAGCTGCTGCATCAGCGGCACCACGAGCAGCAGCAACAGCAACAGCAGCAGCAGCAGCAGCAGCAGCAGGTTGATGCTGACGATGAGTTCAAGAGTTTGTGGTATTTCTTGTCTAAGTCGATTTAATCTTTTTAATGGGCTTTCCTTCTTCTCTATCCATCTTCGGGTGTACATACACCCCAACTGTAAGGGATATAATAGCTGCCGCAAGTCGTCCTCTTGTATCTCTTCTGTCTCTAAGAAGCAATAGCAACAGCAGCAGCAACAACAACAACAGCAGCAATGCAGAACATCCGGCTAGCTAGCTCTAGCTAGCCAGCTAGCAGCTGGCTAGCTAGCGATCTGACTGCATACAGCAACTGACCCACCCGCGACACAAGGGCTGCTCCATATCGAGTGGCACGGGCAGCATACAGCAGCAAGAACCAGCAGCAGCAACAACAGCAAGAACAGCATCAGCAGCAGCAGCAGCAGCATGAGTCTTACGTGCAAAGTCTGCTCCTGCAAATCGTTCGAAGGCCAAATCGAGATCTAAATTGTCAACTGATAACTCGCCATCCAAATCTACATCTGCAGCAGCAGCATCAGCAGCAGCAGCAGCAGCAGCAGGGGATGCTGGTGAAGACATGTCAGTTGAGAGTGCAGGGATCGCAGCAGCAGCAGCAGCAACAGCAACAGCAGCAACAGCAACAGCAGACCGGTTGGCGTGTCGCCTGCAGTTGTTGGTGGAGGCGATGGTGTGGGAACACCTTCGACCTCAAAGATTTCCTCTCCGTTTTCCTTCTTCTCTTGGAGATGCTGCTGCTGCTCTTGTTGCTTCTGCTGCTGCCGCTGCTCTCGCCTCTTGAGGACTTCTCTCTGCAGCTCATCATCAATGTCCCCCCAAAACTTTTTATTCATTCCCTCCAACTTCTCCTTCACCGCCTGCAGCGAGTGGCGCAATCGCAACGACAGCTAGCTAGCTAGCTACCTATCTAGGCAACCAGCTAAACAACTAGCTAAACCGGTAGCCAAACAACTATTTAAACAGCTAGCTAAATAGCTGGCTAAACAGCAGGTAGCTAGCTAGATGGCTAGCTACCTGGCAATCGGCTACCCGGCCGCTGCGTCCTCGCGTCGTTCCTCCAAACCCTGCAAAGTGCACAGCGCAACACCCAAACCCTAAACCCTAAACTCTAGGCACCAAACCCTAAACCCTAGACCCTATTCCCTAATTTCTAAGCCGTAAGCAGATCGGTACTCACCGGATAAGCTCTGTGAGTCATTCGCCTCTTCGATGTCACGGAAGAGGGCCTCAGGCATCTGTGCATCAGCAACAACAAAGGCAGCAGCAACAGCAAACCGGTAGATGTCGTTTGTGTCTCCTTTCTGCTCTGCCTGTCTCTGCCATTTTATCTCTGCATGCATCTATTTATATCTGTATCTTTCTTTCTTCTCTTTGTTTGTTCATATTTAATTACATTCCCAGTTTATTTATTTATACATATTATCTTTTGTTTCTATTTATATTTATTTAATTATTCTTTCCCTCTTTGTATCTTTTTCCTTCTTAGTCACTAACCTCGCGGCTGCCTCCAACCATCAACTTTCGACGGCCCCCGAACTCTGCACAAAAACCGCAAACCCTAAACCCTAAACCCTAAACCCTCGAATTTAACTCTTTGGTGTTTTTATTACTTCTGCGATGGATGCCAAAGCCTGCGTCCCGCACGTTGCTGCCGATTCACAACTCCATAAACCCCAAACCCTAAACCCTAAACCCTAAACCCTACGATTTTCTAGCACTTCTCCTTCACCAGGTTTCCAAAAGACTTCTGCCAGTCCTTCTTGCCCTTCAGCAACAGCTAAGTCAGCAACAGAGACAGAAGAAAGAGACCGCAGCAGCAAAGAATCCCTTAAACGAGGAGACACACCAGAGCTGCTGCTGCTGCTGCTGCCAGCAGCAACACCACCCAACTCGCCACTGGAACCCCTATCTGCTGCTCCCATCAAATGCTGCTGCTGCTGGACCTCCCGGTCCGACGTATCTCCCTCAGAAGCAGCAGAAGCAGCAGCCGCAGCTGCTGCTGATGCTGCTGATGCTTGCGAAGAGAGGGAATCGTCCCGCCGCATGAGGCGCAAACGACCGGAACCTGCAACAGCAACTCCAACAGGAGGCGCAGTGCTGCTGCTGCTGCTGCTGCTGCTGCTGCTGCTGCTTGCTTCTGCTATTGCTGCAAGAGCCATCATTTGCTGCGCCAGTCCAATACTGCGACCACTTAAACTCGAAGACGATAATCTTAAACTGCCGCTGTTTTGTCTACCGGAACTCCCTGTTCGCCGCTGCTGCTGCTGCTGTTGTTGATGCTGCTCCTGTTGTTGTTGCTGCTGCTGCTTTTGCTGCTGTTGTTTGGAACGAGGTGTGTTAGAGTTATCTTGCTGCTGCTCTATCTCCCCCTGCTGCTGCTCCTGCTGGCCCTGCTCCCTCTCCTGCAGCCCAGCAGCAGCAGCTTCCTCGCCTTTAAGAGACTGGAGGCCTGAGTCCGATTTCGCGGCTGCTTCAGAGTGCTTCGAAGAATCTGCTTTAACAAGGGGCCCCTTGGTAGGTGACCCCTCAGTAGGGGTACCCTCGGCAGGGGGCCCCCCGGTAGGGGCCTCATCGGTAGGATCTGACATGTTGGCAGCAGCTGTCGCTCCTGCTGCTCCTATGTAGACTGGTGTGTTTCTTGATAGGAAAGGGGCTCAATAAGCTCCATATATGTAAGGCTGCTGCTGCTGCTGCTGCTGCTGCTCCTGTTATTGATGTTGCTGCTGCTGCAGCTGCTCCTGCTGGCTGCGCAGCAGCAACTGCTGCTGTTGCACGGTGTGCCCCTTTCTCAAGAAAGCAAATTGGGAGTTTACAGCAGAAACAAAGCGGTGTTTTGCATGCAGGCCCAGCAGCAGCAGCAGCAGCAGCGGTAGCTGCTGCTGCTGCTGGGCCTTCTTGGAGGGGCCGTGGCTGGGAAGTCAAATGTGCATCCCGTTTGTCTCGTGCTCGCTGTAGACCAAAGTAAGGGAATTTATTTAGTTAATTACTTTGATCGTTTTCATTTAATCTGACTGTTGAATTTAATTAATTTATGTTTAATTCATAGCCGTTTCGGCGCTGCAGTTGCCGTAGCTGCTCCAGCAGCAAAGGGGCCCCCCTCCAACCGCTGGGCAGTGACCGGTGGCTCTTGGGTAGCTGCTGCCGCATCCTCAAGAGAAATAAGTCATTAAGAGGGTTCGCTTTTTAATTAGTTGAATAAGATGATAAAAATAATTGATTTAAATACATTTACACCGTTAAATTACACTGGATCTACTCAATGGGATGCCGGGTTAGCAAACAAGATACTCGCACCACGCCTCCTGAGGGCTTAGGGTTTACGGTTCGTGCTACTTCACCGCAAACAGACTGCTGCTAATTCCCCAGTCATACTTTTCAGAGCTGCTTACAACGTACGGGGCAAGGCATAGGGCCACCAACAGCAGCCTGTTGCTGCATTTGGCGGTGCTGCTGCTGCTGTATTTGCTGCTGCTGGTGCTGCTGCTTATGTCTGGGATAGACTCTGGATGATGTAGCTACACCGGCCCTAGTCTGGTATGGACACTCACAGGTTTTTCTAGTGCTGTGCTCCTGCGTGTTGTCGTTGCTGGTGTTGAATTCGCCGCATTTCCTGCATTGGTTGCTGCTGGCTGCGCTGCCATGCTGCAGCAGCAACTGTACGACGGAGCCACTCCAATAACAATTTCAGTACTAGTACTAATAAATATTATTAAACGCTAAACCCTGACTGACCATCGACCTCTGCAACCACGTAGACGCTGCAGCTATTGTGCTCCTGCTGATACTGTGCTACTGCTGCTGCCGTGCAGCAGTGAAGTCTACCGTAGGGCCTAGGGACAACCGCGGAAGCTGCAGCAGCAGCACAAACGACAGCAGCAGCAGCACAAACGACAGCAGCAGCAGCAACGGCACCAGCAACACCAGCAGTAACGCCAGCACTAGCAACCACAGTAGCAGCAGCATCAATTGGGCATTGAAGCCGATTTTCAACAAAAGTTTTTGTTGTCCGTCTGTGTTGTGCCAAAGGCTCATTGCTGACCTGCTGCCTACCGCCGCGATGCTGCTGCAGCAGCAGCAGCAGCAGCTACTCACTGCATGCGACTCTCAGGCCCATACTTGTTGCTGCAGTTGCTGTTACTCAGCACTGCCTGAACTGCAATATACACATCGAGTAACAGCTAGAGCAGCAGCAAGCTCATCTACTGCGCCAGCAGCAGGAGCAGCAGCTACCCACCCTCCTGCCGCGCTGCAGCAGTTGCAGCAACTGAACATGCTGCTGCACTGCAGCAACTGTCACTCTTGTTTGTTGAGGCTGTGCTTAAACACCCAGTCGTCTCTATACAGCAGTTCCTTGTCAAAGGACCACGACTTGCTGCTGTTGCTGCTACTAGAAGCTGCCTCCCCTGCATGGCGGCCCTTGCGATACCCATCCCGTCTCTGTTGCTGCTGCTGCTTCCGCAGCAGCTGCTGTTGCCTCTCCTCCTCATATGCTGCCCTTCGGCGTACCTTCAGCTGTCTGTACGCCTCTGCCACTTGCTGCTGATACGAAGCAGCAGCAGCAGCACCAGAAGCAGCACGTTTGCTGCCCTTCATTGTTGGTGAGTCGTATTCCTCCTCATCTGTGATTCCTGCTGCTGCTGCAGCTGCTGCTGCTGTTGCTGCTTTTTTCTCTCCACTCCTGCACAAAACAGCAGCAGCAAAAAACCAGAACAACGAGCTCGATTCCTTGGCTGCCACCGCTACAGCACAACAAGCAACAGCAGCAACAGCTGCAACAGGGGCAGCAGCACCAGCAAACTAACCGCAAAGACTTGGCCTTAAGGGCGTCGAGCTTTTGCTTAAACTCCCGCAGGTCTGGCGGCCCATCAACCACGTCGTTCCACAGCACCAAGTGGCGCGTCTTCTCTGCTGTTGCTGTTGTTGTTGCTGCAGCTGCTGCTTTTGATCCTGCTTCTGCTGCTGATGCTGTTTCTGCTGTTGATGTCTTGCCCGATACAGATGTCTTCTCTGCTGCTGCAGTTCTTGCTGCTGCCTGCGTTGCTTCTGCATCCGTTCCTGTGGGCTTTGACCGCTTGCGCTGCATCCTGAGGCACAGCACCGGGAACAGCAGCAGATGAAGCAGCAGATGCAACAGCAGATGCAGCAGCAGAACGCCCATGGAATTAGCCCATTGATCCGCAGCTGCCAACATGCACGTGTACACGCAGATCAATTAACGCTCTTTATAATCAAATAAAAAAAAAATATTAAGTAAAATAAAATAAAAATAAATTTAATTAAAAACTTATTTTTAGTCAGTTTGCTGGATAATGTGTTATTAAGGAGGAGACTCACACTGCAGCAGCAGAAGAGGAAGAGTCTTTTAAGGAGCTGCTGCTCTTGGCTTGACCCACATCCTGCTGCTGTTGCTGCTGCTCTACGCCCTTCTTTTGCTGCATCAGCCGAAGTTTTCTGCGGAGATTTCTGGACATCTTTTGCTGCTGTTGCTGTTGTTGCTGCTCTTGCTGCTGTTTCTGCTGCTGTTTCTTCTGCTTCTTTTGCTTGCTAGATCCCTCCTGCTTCTGCTGCTGCTGCCTCCCCTGCATAGGATGAGCATCTCTCTTTGCTTGCTTGCTGCTAGGAGGGTTGTTATACTTCCTTTCCTGCTGTTCATTGCGCTGCAGCACAGCAGCAGCAGTTAATGAAGGCCCCTTCGGGTGTCTGCGGCCCCTACGAGCCTTCCAGCGTGAAGTCCTCCCCATGATGCCGTATCACACTCTGCTGCTGCTGTTGTTGCTGCTATTGTTGCAGCTGCTGTTGCAGCTGCTGCTGCTGTTTCTATTGTTTTTTCTGTTGCTGCTGCTGTTGCTGCAGGAGAATATTGAGTAGAAACCCTGTTGCTGCTGCTGGCTTCACGCCGCGCAAGGAAGAATAATCGCGCTTAACCCACAGCAGCAGTAGCAGCAGCAGCAGCAGGACAATCAGCAGCAGCTGCACCACTATTACATAATAGTGCAGCGAGCTTGTAAAGGATCGACAAGAAGATTATCTGCCTCGATCTCTAAATGATCGAACGATCCCTCTCGCCACTTCTCCACATGAAAGGCTAAATATTCAGCGTAGTGTGGGGCCGTGCTGCTCTCCGCCAGGCGCCTGCTGCTCCTGCTGATGGTATTGCTGCTGTTCCTGCTGTTGCTGCTGCTGTGACGGCGACGAAGCGTTGCAGGGGCTGCTGCGGCAGCCGCTGCTGCTGCGGCCGATGCTGCTGCTGCGGCCGCACCCGCCAAGGCAAGCGCCCGAGAAGGAAGTGAAGCTACAAACTGTCCCCGTCGGCTGTTGGGGGTCTCCGCGTCTTCTGCTGCTTCTGTTGCTGCTTTTGTTGCTGCTGCTGTTGCAACACTTGAAGGACGAGGAGAATCTCTGCTGCTGCTACCTAGAGACCGCGGCAGTAGAGCAGATATGATGACGTCGAAGGCTCTGTGGCGCCGCTGCTGCTGCTGCGCCTCTCTGCTGTCTGTACAGAACAAGCTACCCTCTAACAGCCTCTGCTGCTGCTGCTGCTGCTGCTCTGGGAACAGGTGTTGCTGCTCCTGCTGCAGCCCTGTATTGAGAGCAGCAGGACCGCAGTAAGGATGGCGGGGAGTTCCCTCCTGAGGCGAATCAAAACAATCCGACTCGTCACTATCTCCAGATTGCTGCTGCTGCTGCTTCTGCTGCTGCTGCTGAAGGACGCTTACACAAGTGTCTACTGCATGCACAGCCCGCCCTCGCGCTGCAGCAGAAAGCGAAATCGCCAGACACAGCGGGCAGCTGAAGTTAAGGGAGACGTCCCCGAACCATAGACCCCCTTGCTGCTGCTGCTGCTGCTGTCGCGGACGGCTGTATGGACGCGCGGCGTATGCACTCCAACCTAATGTGCGGTGGCGGCGCTGCGGCCCCTTGCGGCTGCTGCTGCGGTTCCTGCTACTGCTGCCAGAGCCTCGGCCCCGCTGCAGGAGTCTTCCTCTGCGATGCCCTACACCTGCTGCTGCAGCTGCTGCTGCTGTTGTAGGACTCCGCTGCCGGCTTTGTGGGTGGTGGAAGGGGCAACGCCACGGTATTGATGTGCCGAGGCCCAAATGTTGCTGTTGCTGCTGTTCCTCCTCCACCTGCTGTTGCTGCTGCTGCACCTGCTCCTCGGGATCGCCTGCTCCGGGCAAGCCAGCTGCTGCAGCAAGAGACGCCAGCCGCTGCGGCACTGCTGCTGCTCTTGCTGCTGCTGCACCTCCTGCTGCTATGGCGGAGTTCAAGAAGCCACTCAGAGCAGCAAACGCAGCATTACCATACTCAGACAGGAAAGGTGAGCTGCAGTTTTCCAAATACTCTCGCTGCTGCGTGTCGCTGCTGCTGTTGCTGCTGTTGCTGTTGTCGCTGATGCTGCTGTTGCTGCTGCTGCTGCCCCCCTCACGGTGCGGAACACCAGGAAGGGTGTGGAAGGCAGGGTCAGGTGGCCCGGTTAATGCTGCAGTTATCTCCTGAGGTGCTTCAGAATGCTCCTTCATGTTGAACTCTGCTGCGGAGGCGTGCTGCTGCTGCGGCGGCGGCGGCGGCGGCTGCTGCTGTTGTTGCTGCTGCTGCTGCTGCTGCTACTGCTACTGCCTGCCTGCCTGCGGATACTAGCAGGCAAAATAAGTCAAAAAACTTCTCCCCTCTAAGGCCCTCAGCGGAGGCAGGAAGAGCTACATATTCAGTAAGGGGTGAGCAGGGCCCCGTAAGTGCAACAGCAGCAGCCGTTCTGCTGCCGCTGCTGCTGCTGCTGTTGCAGCTAATAATAAACACAAAATATGAGGACTAGTAGCCTCACAGAGAAAGCTAGATAAGCCTTCTGTAACAAAAGATTTTATAGAACTACAGCCGCGGGGTGCGCACTTAACACCGCAGAGAGCAGCAGTAGCCGCTGCTGCAGCTCCCGGGGCTTCCGATGCTGCTGCGACTGCTGCGGCTACAGCTGCTTTTTCTGCTTTTGCCGCTTTTGGAAAATCATCCAGTGCAGCGCACACCTCTTTTATATGAGGAAACACTTTCCACATTATTGCTTATTGTTATTCCCTAGCTATAAAACGATATGGGGATTGCTACTGCTTGCGCACTCGCCAGGGGGGAGGGTTGGTGCAGCAGCAGCAGCAGCAGTTGTAGTCGTAGTTGTAGGTTTAGTTTTAGTTTTAGTAGTAGTAGTAGTAGGAGTAGTAGTAGGAGTAGTAGTAGTAGTAGTAGTAGTACTAGTAGTAGTAGTAGTAGTAGTAGTAGTAGTAGTAGTAGTAGTAGTAGTAGTAGTAGTAGTAGTAGTAGTAGCATTGAAAAGGGGGGCCCCAAATGCCTGCATCAACTCTCTGCTGCCGGCCGCTGATTTGCAGAAGAAGACAGCGGGAAGCTGCAACATAATCTAAAGGCGTTAGATAAGGGTCTCAGAAATCTGCGCTGTAGCGGGAGGTCCTATACATACTTGCTAAGAACTTCTTAATTGGATTCTTATATTATCTTGACTCTACTGCAACAGATGTTTCTAGAATCACAATAATATAAGAATCCAACTAGGAGCAGCAGGCTAACCTCATTAGCCTCCTCCTGTGGCGCCCTTGTCGCCTCCTCTAAGGGCGGCTGCTGCGGGGGAGGCGGCGGTTTGCTAGCTGTAGTGTATAATGCTGCATACAGGCATTTCTGCTGGTGGCCCCACATTCCATCACAAACTAAACTTGTGTATTGTAACACAGCAGACCACTGTGCCACTGTGAAGAGCTATGCTTGCGAGCTGGCCGCCCAATAAAGCCGAGGAAATGCTAATTTCAAGAAGGCAGTGCCACAGCCAGTAGGAACGCCAGTCTGCTGGGCGCGTCAATACAGTGCAGCCTGAGGCTGGTTTGGGGAGGAGACAGTCGGTAGTGAATTGCAGCACTCCTTGCCGAAGCTCCTGCTGCCAGGGAGTCCTCCATGCGAGGGACCGAATCCCAGTGGCACGCTGACGCAACTGATTCGTAGAGAATTTTTAAACAGCTCCTTTGCAGTAGCGACAGTGCAGGCAGATGTATGGAGTTCAGAGGAAGCCTGCTACACGCGTTCGAGTGCTCCCCTTCCAAGGTGGTATGAGTGAATCTTCGGAAGGAGAAGGGGGGACTAACGAATTGGTTTACCGCATCCTTCCTTGATGCACCTATCGGGCACTCCAGTATACCCAGGAACGCAGGGCCGGTCGCTCGTTTACTTTGTGCGTTAGCCTTGCCTTCAGTACGGCTGGAGGGCTCGCCACAGTAGTTTAGGTAGCACCACGAGTTTACAGGAGCAACTGGGCAGAAACGATTGAAGGCTTGGCTTTCAGCAGAAACCCTCACTGCCCACGGTTGCTTCACACTTCCCGCCCTTTGCCGCTCCATAGCATGAGGGGGCCATCCACTCCACTTGAACTCACCAGTTGTACTAATTTAGCAGCAGGCGCATTTGGGGCCCCATATGGGAAGAGTGTGTACCTTGAGGCATTACCACTTATTCTTGGTAAACAACAGCCGTTGAGGCTGAGGTGCAATGTGTGCGGGTCTAAAATATCAAGGGGGCCCCAAGCCTTCCTCAACTGCTACATATGGGGAACGTTTACGCATCCGTTGTGCAGTTCCTCTCAGCAGGAGTGGGAAAATCAAGATGTGCCAAAGCAGCAGACCCTATTGTTTTTGAGAACCTAAGTACATTCTATAGGAATCCATTGGTGCTCTTTCTACCGGGGGGTATAGCGGGTAGAATAAATATAAGTGGCCATATATATATATATATATATA